ATGGATGAACCTTAAAAACAGGGTAAGTAAAAGAAGCCAGATGCAAAGACCACATACTCTAATTTCATTTATACAAAATGTCCAAAACAGGCAAATCCAGGTAGTAGCTGCCTGTGGAGAACGGGAAGAGTTGAAATGAAGACAACTGCTATTCAACACATAGGAGGTTTCTTCTTGAAGTAATAAAAAAAAGTTCAAATGCACACTGTAGTAATGGTTGCAGAACTCTTTGACTATGCCAAAAAATATACACCTCAGCTTTTTTTGTAGCACTGAGGATTATACCCACAGCCTCACACATGCTAGAAAAGCACTCTACCACTGACCTACATCCCTAGCCCTTTTGATTTTGAGACGAGGTCTCTAACTTGCAATCTTCCTTCCCCAGCCTCTCAAGGAGCTGAGGTTACAGGCATGCACCCTTGTGCCCAGCTTAAATTAAGCATTTCAAAGAAGGAGAATATACAGTGTGCCAATTACATCGTAATAAAACTGTTGGTGACTTATTGAGACCCGGTCTCCAAAAGAAAAAGGGTTGGAATATAGCTCAGAACAAAAAGTACCTTGGGTTCAACCCCCAGTACCAGGAAAACAAACAAACAAAAAAGAAGTACTCAACCCACCATTTCTACCCACCAGCTGGATCAGCCTCTCTCCAGGTATGATGGGACCTTAACTAATACTGGTTCTTGCTATCTTTTGGGAAAGGAGAAATTAGACTCTGTAGACCACCTACCCGGCTCCAACATAAGTGTATGTTCTGTGAACATACTAATGCAAACACATCCTGGGAAACCTATTAAGCCAGTAACTTCTCAAGTTCTCTAAAAACAGCCCTCCTACCCACCCTACTCTAGCCCACTCCGACTGCTCACCAGTCCAGGGAAGGAAGTCATGAGTAAGCACAGGAAGCTGGCAGACAACCTAGAGTGGGCCCTAAGAAACCTAGAAAACTTCCTTCAGGTCCTGGGAACTCAGGCCTAATTGTAACTTACCTTCAAGGCTCTGTGAAAGCTCTCCTACCTGAGCCAGCCTGAGGGATTTCTAATCCACACAAATAGAGAGCTTTGGCAAAATGGCATACAGTAACTCTTGCAGACCTCAAAGGCCACCCTCTGGGGGAAATACTAAACTTCCCACTTTACAGAGGAAACAAACTGTGGGGCAGGGTGAAAGGGCTCATTCAGGACTGCAGAGAACACATACACACAGATCTTTCTCATCCCAGAATCTATGCTCTTATCAAATACACTGGATTAGGCTTCTGAAGATCCCAAACCTGTAGCTCTGCAAAAAGTTCTGATTCAGGGCTGGGGATGTAGCTCAGCACCACAGCACTTTCCTAGCATGCCCAAGGTTCTGGGTTCAATCCCCAACACCTCTCACCTCAAAATTCTGATTCAATATGAATAAAAGAATACTTGGAGTACTATTACGTGAATGTGATGTCTGTGCGTTTTCATTTTTACCTGCACTGCTAGAGCTGAGAGGCTTCTTCGGTTTATTCAGTGCTGGAGCAACAAGAGAAGGAGCCACTGCCGTCTCCTGACCTTGTCTGGCAGCTACAGGGTCATATTCTTTTCCATCGTAGTTTGCATCAAAAAATTTCTTGAACCACTGAACAAACTCGAAATTGTCCTGAAACTTTCCTTTTACTAATTTATCCACAGGAATTATTTTGTCAACACCCATCCTTTTAAAACCTGCTTGTAGTATTTTGAAGTTCTGGATATATTCATGTTCTAGCTTAGCTTGGAATTTCACTTTCTTCAAGGCAATGGAGCCAGGGAAGAGCATGTCCATAAATTGACAATAGGCAGCCCCTGAGCACAACTGTTCAATCTTTGTCAGATTCAACTGCAGAGACTCATTGATCCAGGCCAGCATGACATGTCGACTTAGATTATCACTGGTGACTGACGTTGAGTATACGTTCACTGCCATCTTCGGCTCTCAGGGAAACTGTGTCTACAGTCCGCGCCCAGCTCCGGTTCCATCTTCGTCTCGTTCAAACCGCCAGACCAGCATGTTTGTTTTTTGAGACAGGGTCGCACTTTATGATTCAGGCTAGTCTTGAACTTACTACATAGTGCAAGGTAGCCTCAAATTTGTGGCAATTCTTCTGCATCAGTCTCTTGATGCTGGGAGTACAGGCATGGGCCACCATGCCCAGTAAGTAAGCATTTTTTTAAAAATTAAAATGTGGTTTGGGAGCAGACTGACAATGAGTTTTCAGCTAACTCTTATATCTTTCAAGGCCTCTAGAAAGAACCTCCTATGAAGTGCTTCAGACCAGAAATAAGCCAGATCCACGTCTTTTATGTAGCTCATTCAGCCACAGACCCCACGACCACCCTTGTCTCTATAAAAAGTCTCTAGTTCATTATGAAATATGGAAAGCATACCAATAACAATGATTGTTGACAATCTGTCTGATTTGACAGGACAAACATTAAAGTCAGCCCCTCCTCCTGGCCAGACCTCTAATAGCCTGAGTTTGTGTTTTGTGGTCCATTACCTGTCTCGGTACGTTGAACTAATAAGGTAGATTCTTAGGAACATATTTGGAAATGTGACCAACAGGTCTTCATTGAGCTTTGGCTCACCTTTTAAATGAAGGTAATTACAGTGGTACCTCGATTCACAGAATTAATTCTTTCTACAATTCTGGTCACAGAATTAATTCCACAGTTCTGGCTGAAATTTGAATTCTGTGACCAGAATCATGGAAAGAATTAAGTTTGTGAACCGAGGTAGTACTGTATACTACTGGGGCCTTGGGATGACCTTTTTCTGCCTTACACATGGACTGGAAACAGGGACACCCAGTCTACACCGAGTGCTCACTAAAGGAAACACACCAAAAA